GTGTTAATTGCCATTCCATTGTTGTCACACCAGTTTCCTAGTAGTTTAAGTGCACTATTAAGAGCACTTTCTGTCCTCTCCTTAGCGTTTTTCTTAGGGGCGGAATACCATAGAACAAGATCATCTGCATAAAGTGAGCACTTAACGCCCGTGACTGTCTGTACCAATTCGGCTATGTCATTGATGAAGACATTGAAAAGAGTGCAGCTTGTGACAGCTCCCTGTGGAAGGCCTGTTTGCAAAAGATTGGATTTTGATAGAGCATTTCCATATCTGACTTTACACGATCTTTGTCCAATGAACGCTTTTATCCAGTTTAGCATGTTATGCTTAATACCAATCTTGGGGTGCGCGATAGACTTACCTCCTCGTGGTGCACCCTGGACAACGTATTTTCTTACGGCAAAAAAGTCTATCACTCGGCATTCGTTTTTGACTCGTTCACAAAGTAAAATTTGATTATACGGTCAAGTAGTACAACCATCCAGATGGGCTGGAAAAGTTAAAAGTTTAGCCCTTTCTTTTTTCTAAGGTACGTATATTTTTCAGGTCACACTCCCCATATAAATATTAAAAAATTAAAGATTACAAAGTCAAGTCTATTGAAACGTAACCATAGTATTGCTTACTCGGAGTCAAAAGGAGTCCTATTGAGTTATACACCCACATTTTGCGTTATTATGCGGAAGTACTTTCAGCAACATGAGTCATGGCAAAATCGGTGGTGCTTAATTGACGTCGGATAAAAGAATAATTAATGTTAGTAGCATCTTAGAAAACAGAAGGGTAAAATGACAATGAAATGCTGCATATGTAGGTATGGCTTTGAATTTTAAGCTTTAAACAAGGAAACAAGGTTCTCATGAATTGATGTCTAAGGTAGACAAGAAGATCATAATGGCTCAAAAATCGGAACCGTTGAGGTTAAAACCCAAGGGAAACATTCACAAAATCCTAGGTCTACGACAAGATGTTATTGATCATATTCAATAGCAGGAGCATTGTTTGCTCACCATAGACTTGCTATGAGAATAAGCGTATCTTTTTAGCAGACACGGGAGGAAACAATGAATTATTTCCACTGAGATTGATAAAAAGTCCAAACCCAGAATTCTGTTCAAAAGTAAAAGGCATCTTTTATTCTTTGCATAGAATTCATATATTCAGTTGACTTATAGGAGAAGTACATAGACCATACATTGAGTAGGTTAAACAGAGGAAAACGAAATGGCAGAAATAGTGCTGCAAACTTGCCGACAGTGCAATACTTTGCATTTGAAGATATATCTATGGTGGTTTCTCATTGAAAAGTAGATATTTACGCAGTCCTAGTTATGTGACTTCAATTGATACTGGTGGGAAAAATATTGTGTATCTGTGTTCATATTGGCGTAACGGTCGATAGTGAGAAAATTGACCATTAGTTTAAAAGATCGAACGTGGCCAAGGAATCAGCACTGTTTAAAGTTTCAGTTACGTCGACTATCATGAAATTTCACTGTTATAGTCTTCCGAAACCCAAATCTACCATCAGATATTTCTTACCGTATGTGGTATCTTCTAACTTTTAAGCGCTTGATCTCAGTAGTGAAGACTACTATGTTCGATTTGAAAGAAGGTGGAAGTATATAAGAGTGTACAAAACCAGAACCAATTGTGAACTCTCAGAATTTAAATCAATTACACGAAGGATATGATCTGGAAGCCAATAGATCACCTCAAAATGAATCCGATATTTGTGCAAGTTGATTGATATTCTAAGGTAAAAGCATATTTCTTTTAAATATATATTGAAAATTATGAGATAATTTTTGAATAAAACATTTTGTCAGAAAAGCACTTTGCTGATGACCACAGTATTCAGAAGAGTGCATTTCGTCATCACGAAGATAGTCAGAGAGTTCTTCTGTTTGGTTTGTACCTACACTACCTAAAAGGACTTTAAATTTCAACGTCAAAGGGATAGTGGGCGGATTGTGTCTGAATCAAAAGAATCACGAATATACTAAGGAAACAATATCAGTCATACTGCGTAATGCCGACTTTCTCAAATTATTTGTTTTAATCTCAGAGACACAAAGAGGAATCTTTGGGCTGAGCTGAAGGTAACTGACTGAAGAAAGAATAATTTCGCAACTGAGGATTTGGATGAAATATCAGCTATTTTTGAAATTTAATATCAATAAGAAATCAATTTATCGCAAAACTTTCCTAAATGGCTTCGAGACTGAGTATCATGCCTCAGCGCGTCCTCTTAGACATGAGGTTACACATAGAAATTGATAAAAAAAAATATACGCACAAAAACCAAAGAAGTCCAAGGTGTGGATGCTGACTGAATTTTTTTGATGCTCTGAACTCCTCGGCTTACAATGTGAGTAATTAAGTAGCATTAATCTTCCATAGGTGGAATTTGCTAAACTAATTTAACGTTTATGGACGAAGTGGACTGCAAATACCTCGACTCTGGAGGGGAGCTGAAGTAGTTAGTATATGCAAGGATAGATGAAGTTAAATAGAACTAACTATTTTCATTCGCATCGTTCTTCTTGATATTTTCTGAAAATGTTCTTCACCAATGTTATGTATTAGGCAGAATTACTAAATAAGAGGACGCTTGTCGAACAGGCATTCAGAGAGATAAAATTCAAAGTGCGCATAACGAAACTTCATTGGATAAGAAAGAAATCAAATGTGTAAAGCCTTGGTGCGAAGACACAGTGAACAGAACATCACTGAAAAGTGGGCACAATACAAACTTGTAGGATTTTTTCTGACAGGGTGGTGGTTGTATAAGAGTAATGGGAGCAAAGGATGGTTATGAAACCAATTGAGAATATTCTATTCAGAACTCCAATAAAGTTTAAAATGCATACAACTCGACGATTTCAAAACTCAGATGTAATATGGTTTGCATCCTGTACTTATCACTAAACTTTCTGACAATGCTTTGTTATTTCCTACTTTGTCCCCAATAAGTATAATAATCAACGTCTTGTCACTTTTATGGATAAATATTCATCTATTGTTGAGATTTAACACCACATCTAAATATGGATGTTTCCTATGTCAGTGTTCTTTTTTAATCAAATTTTGACATTTGCATTCAAATTCATCTAAATTATTGCTAATTACTAAAAGTTCAAACAAAGGCAATACTTATGTTATACTAAAACGAAATTATGTTTAAAACAACTGATGATTAACATTAATGGTTAAATGTAGGCAAATAAATAAAAATTAATGTAATTACTATCCTTCACAATGTAGAGGAATGATTTAAGACAATAAACCAATTGAATGTACTCATTTTTGTTTATTTTAGCCACCCATCAAAGAACATGAGAAGAAATCGGATTCCAATACATCTTATTGCATATCAGGTGTATAACAGGGAAGGAAATACCAGAATCAGAGGATAATCGGAAACACAAATACAATATTGAATGGGATTGATAAAAGAGGTAATAGGCAGCTTAAATACCCCTCAAAATATTCATGCTCTCAAATTAAAGGATTTTTAAATGAAGTTCAGTTAAGAATTGTCGAATGGCAGAACCTCAAGCTCATCAACCTCCGACATTGTCGAGTTTGTGAAGGAGACAGAAGATAAGGCATCAGACATGTCGTGCATCTCTTGTTCTACCTTGTACAATTCGCGAAGATGCGTGTGTTTCAGTGGCTTTTCAGTTCTGGCAGTGAATTGACTATCAAAGCTACCAGGATCATAGCCTTTCCCTGATCCAATTAATTTTTGCGGAGCGAATGCCATAGTCTCTGAGAGCTCAATTCCTCTACGAGCCGACTCAAAGACGAGATACCTGGCAGCATCCTCGGCTTCTTGTACCGAAACGGTAGATTTTGATTGTTTCTGAACCTCTGCAACTGCTTCCAACTTTCTGCGGACGGATGGAGGCATTAGTAGTGAACTAAGGCCACGAGTATATCCCTTGGCAAGTGTTCTGGAGAATGGTGGCTCTTTCAGATGAGAATCCCTATTAGAATCTTCTTTATTAGTTGCCTGGGAGTAATTTGATGGAGTCTCAGCTGATTCTCGTATACTCACACCTTCAGATCGATGAGCGAAAGCTGAGGGAACACCAGATTGGTCACCCTCAGTAATGGATGTACGATGGTTTGTTACCGAGGATGGGCTCAGAGGAGTTGCCCGGAATTCCTGTTGCTGTTGTTGTTGTTGTCTCTGAATATTAAGCATAGCTAAATCTAGGGGAAAGAAAAGAATTTCATTACATTAAACAAGAAATTGAAACAAACAGGCCGTCAATATGATCATCACGAACCTCCAGATTTATTCTCTGCTTCCTTGTGCTTTTGAAGTTGAAAGAGATATCGTCGCATAATATTGCACTTTACTCGTATGAGGTGGGTCTAAAGAAGAAAGTAACTTTCGACATTGGATATTCTTTTATAAAGACGGAAAATTGCATAAAAATTACAAATGGAGCACTTTAATAACGAGGTTTTCGATATATTTAAGTGATTTTTAATGAATAAATTCTGTCCATTTCAAAATATCTCAACAATAAGTCTAGAGCTCAATAAATAAGTTAAGTAGGTCCATTTGACACCTCGAAGTTGCCCTCCTATTCTTTGTGACTCCCCATGTAGGTATATTTAATGGGACTTTGTGGGTGTGAAACTCATACTCTATGTTGATCATTATCATTCAGTAGCGATGTTGGAAATGCTTTGATAAATGGTTTAAAAAACGCTGGAACTTTTACGACACAAATCATAAATATGTCAACGTTCTTATATGCAATAAAAAGCCTAAAACCCAATTACCCACAAATATGTGGTATTTAGTTAGAGGTATTATCTATGTCTACTTTTCCGTTTTCATATAAAGATTAACTTTTAAATGTTAGTGTCATCAAGGTGTGTGTCTAAGCTTATCCTTTCCTGTTTAATACTGAGGCTAGAATACTTAAAGTCATCAAGTCTCGATGTACTAGTTCCAGAGACAATTTTTGAGCAAAAATTTCATTAATATTTTCACTTATCATTTTGCTCGACTCAAACATAGGAAAATGTCTAAAGATCAATTAAATCTAAAAAAATTCTTGAAACAAATTACTAGCGTAGTGCGCATTCACTGAAAGTACAATTTTTAGTTACCAGGATGTATTCGGGCATAGGGAAAGGAAAGGCAACCTAGTTAGGAAACTCATATTCTACTAAAACTGCTTTAAACATTGATAGCAAACAAAATTATTTATTGGCAGAATATGGCATACCATCTGGTCACGTGCTTAATTCTTTTGTGACAGTTTGAGTCCCTTTCTCATTGAGGAGATCTCATTTATTTTATTTTATTTTAAATAGTTGCAATTTGTACAGTATGCTGAAGGCAATATCGAGTCAGTACGAGTTCTCTTTGTGTTCCTATGGATCCTTTTGATGTAGTTTCAAGCACATAATGTAGGATAGAACAGCGGAATAATCTGTTTTAAGGAGGCAAAATTGTGGTCTGTCATTTGTCTAAAGGTCTACTATGGACTGAAATAATTGATGGCTTTTGCGTCGATTAGGGTTAAAATTTGATGACGATCCAGAAATAACTGCGCTTCAATTCTAAATTCCATACCATATTTAATATGTTCCTTTAATTCTACTTTAAAATATAATTTTAATCATGCTGAGAGTTGACAGTACTTTTAAATTCTACGGAGCCATCAAGGCGGATATATAATTTTAATGCGAAAAATATTTTAGCTTACGTTTCCAATTAAGCGAACATATTATTATTAGTATCATTTGTACCTACTGCATTTCCCTCAAATTCAAATTTTATGTTCATAAGTAAAGTCTATAAAGTGACTAACTAACCAGTCTAAACAAGTTTATCGAGGGTTGCAGATTGTAAAATATCAAAGTTAATTCAGGATCATAGGGGCTGATTAATGATGCGTAGTTAATGGACAACTTCTAACATTAACTAAAATATGGTTCCGTCATAATTTTTAATTGACCAATAAGTAATTTGAATTCAGTTTATAGGTACAAGAGGATTTCTCCAATATTTCACAGTTATTGAAAGTCGGTAAGCATTTTTTAGGTACTTTCGCTGTGTATCAGCATTTTACCTCTACGATCCCACACACGTCGATTTGCGATGTTTTGATATTCCTCTCCGTGTTTGTCCACTTTATTCTTTCCTGCTCTCACATTTCTCGCTAACACTCGATTTTTGACCATTTGCTATTCAGTGTATTCCTATTCACCCACTCTGGTTTAAGCATGCGCAAAATGCTATTTGCGGTTGTCTGCCATTATATTAATTGCTCTAACAACTAACTGTAACTCCCACGGTCCAATTATCAACACACAACTTAGTTTCTCATTTTGCCTTTGCTCATTCCTTATCATCAATGCGAATTCACCTAGAATTTGATTGAAATGGTTAAAATAGGTGAAACCCACTTCAAAGTCCTCCTTCTTCTTCTTGGTGATTGGTGATCTACCGGGAATGCTACCACCACCTCTTTTTGAATTGATTTTTGTCATGTGCATCATATTCATCTCCGTGCCTTTGAGGTCTCCACCATTACGATCATCATGGTATTCCTCACCATCACAGTTGTCAAATTTTGTCCGACCGGAATAGTTAGCCCGGCAGGAGAGAAGAGCATTGTTGATTCTTTTAGCTAGTTTCGTGATGGCAACCCGAGAGGGAAGAAGATTCAGGGGAGTGGGTAGAACACCTTCGTGCTCGATATACACCAACCAAAGGTTGGCCCGTGCAAATTTCCATTCCTCTAGACGGTCACCCTGAATTTCAGGAAATAAATATAAGTTATATAGTTTTGAGACATCTTAAATTCACTTCAATTTTGGCATGACGCTACAATGGTAGGATTTAAAACAATCATTGTTTCCACTTCATTTTCACGGGATTCAGTACTTGACAACACTTTTCTCGGCTTCGAGAGCAGTAATTTCTTGCTTAGAAGTGTAGTAAATAACAATTGGTACATGAAAGTATTCTAGTTCAGGCACACTTTATTCATGGCATAACCGTTTCTGGAGGCGGAGCTTCACTTTAGTAGGTGCCGATACTTTCTCATTAAAGATACCGGTAAAGCGGCGTAATGCAATGACATCTAACAAAGCAAGGCTAATGAGCTCTTTTAATTTCTCTTTCCAAAAGCGCCAAATTGTCCAAAAGAATTCATTGTGCACATACCATTTACTAAGTTTAGTTATTGCACATTACAGTCAATACGTTTTCATTCAAGATGTTTAATTAACGAATTATTTTTCTTCCGAAAGTCGGATGCTGATTATGCTTAATAGCTTCCAGAGTGTGAGTTGGTATTTGACTGACAATTTAAGGATTTTCAGAACTCTATCAATTAGTACCGCGGTCTTCCGAAACTATTTTTGGAATCAAAAAATCACCCACCCGAATAAGCGCCCATGGACGATAATTCAGAAGTCAAATATTTCACCTAAGAAGAACATACATGTGCTTCCGCGTATTGTGCATTCGTATGGGGAGAGTCAAGCTTCAGTGTCATATAGAGAAAAACTGTAAGACTGCACTTTATTCAAATCGGAGACTTTCGGTAAACCTCGGTAGTAATAGCTTATTGCCATTCATCAGTCAGTCCGTCGAAATTCCTATGATGACTCAAATGATCGTTCAACAAGACTTCTCTCCCAACCTTTTTGACCCCTTTATATCGATGCTTCTCTCTTCACGGCTGTACTCTCCTATTGTCTGTTAAGTGTTTCAGTGGCTTTTGCACCTCTGAGTATAAATACCACAATGAATTCTTTTCCTCGATTTGACTTTGACGTTTTTCACTCTCTAGCACACAAATACTCGGCATTTCCCTCTCTACCTCTCCCGTCAGTCACCTTTTCCTTATTGACTAATTTTCCTAATCCCATTACTCTTTAAACCCCCCTCTCCCTTTCCCTTAAAAGTCCCAAGGAAATCTTTGAAATTTATGCTTTCTCTGTGTGGTTTCATGTTTTATGGTGCTAGCTCTGTTACTCCAACTCTATTAGTGGAAATATCTTTTTTAACCTAATCCTATCGGAAAGCGGTCGAGCTTGTAATTATTTGTGAATTAAGATATTTTAAAAGTCGAATCGACACAAATCTATCATTTTAAAATGGAGATTAGGCATCATCTATATCATTGTGAATGCTACTCTAAGGTCAATTCTCAGAATATTCTTGGTCATTTCAGCTCATGAAGGTTAGTCAAAAGAAAGAGGGAATGATTGCGTTTCAAAATGTACGAAATCATTGGTATTAAAATCGAAATATCTTAAATCAAGTCTTCTTTTTGATAGGTTTCTTTTTATACCACTCATTTTAAAATAACTTTTTGATTTAACTCAATTATCACCACATTTTTATTTAAATAGACGAACCCTCAAAAATATCTCCAAAATAAGGTATCGTGTTGTCGTTCTCTCCGTTTAAAAAGTTTTAACTTTTTTAGTCATGAGGAGGTTATCGTAGTTAGAGGTCCATGAAGGCAGCCGAAATGGGTTTAGAAAATCGGATAGATTAGTAAGATTAATAATAAAAGCTGCCTTCCGCTCGAACACTGCTAGAGCACTCTTTGTTTTTTATGTGCCTTGGCATATACTTTCGCAAACCTATTCCAAAATCAAGGCTGATAATAGAAGTTGTCACACCATTACGAAGATCATCTAGTGATCACCCAGATTGGCCGTTAGATATGTTCTTAATCTCTAATCTACTACTGTCTCACAAGGCTCACAATTTTACCCAAGGAGAAACGTTTATTCTGAGTACTTGAATAATTCATCATATTTTTCAAATACAAAGAGACCAATTCTGCATTCACTCACCCATGCAGGATAGGTTGAAGACGTGAAACTCTGATAGCAGACTTTAAGTAATTTGGTGTCTAACCTTCTCCCTCCCAAATTTATGACCGTGAATTTATCTCTTTTGGGAGCTGAATTCTTGATATTAGGGTTGAGACCAGGCAGAATTGAAGTTCGAGCGGACTTTAATGGAGGATAATTTGAAACAAAATATTTGACAATAGTGTAATTTCCTAATACATTGACTTTCTTTTAAATCCACTAAATTCTACAGAAGCCAACCAAGTATTTTTATTTTTCCTGATGAGATTGTTCAATTTATCTCAAACATCCTGACAGGCTTCCTTATTTTCATGAAATATTGTGTTTGTCCCTCTTTTAATGCGAGTTTTTTTATTTGTAGAATGTGAAGTATTGACCGAAACATGTTTATTACTTAAATGATCTTCAAAAAATAAAACCCATTCTTGCCTTTACGGCACTTATAATTAAACTGCGAAATGACATTTTTGATATATTTTGTGGAAAATACTTGGTAAACATAAGAAAATCTATTAGTATCGAAATTGATGCCTTTGAAACTTTCGACTAACGCTTCTTACCAAATCATATCAAAATTGGGAAATAAGATACAATTCGGAAACCTAGAGAGCCAAAAGAAATCTTATCCCTACAAATAAAGAAAACTTATGTCTGAAAGAGAATTTCTTAGATTGCTAAATTTGCATCACTTCAAAGCCGTAATCATTTGGAAATAAAAATAATTTTATAATCCACTTTGGCTTCTTTCATAGAGATAGTTGATCGATTAAATTTTGATTGACCTCCAAAAACATAAGATAACATAAGATAAGGGCCAAATTGAAGACGTCATTATCTTGCATGGTATTTTACGCTAATGAGTGTTTCATAGCTTACACACGCAAATGAATATTTCAAAAAATACAGCCAAGCCTAAAATACCGCCAAATATACTTTCAAAAGTCTCTTTTTTATTTCCTTATTAATTTAGATTTGAAATCGGGCGATTTCCATTCACTTGTTGCATCTGATATCATGATATGTTTGTCAACATCTCAAGTAAATCAACTGAACTTCAATAATAAGCACTCGAAAGGGAATCTTGGGGTAAAGACTTGATAACTTAACTTTGAAACACACCAGGACACAGCGAAGTGAACTATATTTATTAAGTAAATAATAAATTATCCGATGACTCCGGAAATCAGAGGATGTAAGGTGCTTTTCGATGACTCCACACAAGCCTATTCTTTTGACCATTATGCATTTTGTCGTATTCCTTATTTTGCTTTGAATGAGATTATTATAATTATTAAATAAAAATTTTATTGAATAATTCTATTGACAATGTTCGATTTTCATCTGCAATTTTATTGAGAGCCATAATCCTTGAACTAACCTGAATCTCATCGAATGATTTACTCATCATAGCAATGAGCATATTGAGCAGAATAATGATCATGCAAGCGTTGTAGATGGCATAGAGCACTGATCCCAGACTGGAAATCATGAAGGCAGCGTTGTTAACTCGAAGATGTTCGTGACCGGGGTAGACGCTTGCAAGCTCTTCCTCCACCGATGTCACATTGAACGAAGACATTCCAAAGAGGGCCCAGAAAAGAGTGTGGAATGTCGCTGTTGAGCTGAAAACATGCGCATGCATATATATTGAAAGTGCTCTAATTCAGTAATAAAACATGAAGCGTTTTCCCTTTCTAGAGCAGAATTTTTATTTTGCCTTCTTGTACTGAAAAGCAATTCTACCAGGCATCCCATCGATGCTATATTTCATATCTTTAATATGTTTATTCCTTCTTATGGAGAATGGACTACTGGCTTAACCAAATACATTCCTTTAATTTTTAATGCATAATGTAAAGCACAGAATCCTTCATCGTACTGGCGCGTCCTTACCTATTCAATCACCCGAGACTTTGCCAATATTGAGCATACCCCAACTCTTAGCCTACTAGCGATTCATTTCAGTTTATCATTATTATAACCCCTAGTACTATTTATATCTAAACGAGATAACATCTCTTTTCTTTTGTCAAAGTAAAGTGCTAGAAACTCGAAAAGAAAAAGCAATGCCAAGATGAAAAATAATCTATCTGGTTTCAAAGATATAACTCATAGTTCGTACCGACTAAACGCTCTACTGAGATTCAGTTCTTATATAGTATTAACAAATGACGTCGAAATGGTAAGAGCTTGGGTTCTGAAAAAACCAAAATTTGTAAATAATTTGAAATATTTTTTATTGTAAACAAACCACGAATGCAACAAGATATTCCAATTGAGTGCATTACCAATTTTGGAAAAATTCATTAAAAGTAGGTAACTTAGTTGCTTGAGTATATTTTTAAAGTGAATAAAGATAAACCTTTATTTTAACTGGCGTCTCAGTTTAAAATGGAGTTTTACAAGTTACTACTGCAGAGCATTCAAAAATGATTGCGTCTAAGAGGTATGTGAAAAATGAATATCCGAAAGCTACCTTTGAAATGCAGGAACGGTACTAGCGTATCGCACGGTTGCATACGTGGTAGAAGGAGCCACATTTTTAGTATCCACCGAGACAATCATTCGAGAGAAGTACCAATAGAGATTCGTCAGACCCACGACGAATGCTATTAGCATCTGCAATGGACCAAAGCGTTCAATTTTATTGAAGTGAAATATGTTTTCATGCTTATGAAACTTCCCTAAAAACGGATAAAACAGGTATTGAAGACCTTGGCAATGATTCATAGCATGGAAGAGCTTACCTCGAGAGAACTGCCATATTTGCTATTTGGAGTAATTTTTATGCATGAGGGCAACTATTAACCTCAACACTCATTATTTAACCCAATTAAATAACACTCTTCACTTTAGCCTTTAACATTTCACCCTAGCTGAATTTAACCGTGTTAACCTTAACCTATAATATCATGGTTTAGTTTAAACAAGCAGCTTTCCATGTAAATTCACTAATTGAAGTTGTCAGAAAAGTTGTTTAGAAATACGTTAACATTTAATCAATTACATTACAATTGAAATTTATGAAATGCACTAGGTAAGGGATATTGAGCTATATTTTACGATATCGTGCCTTGAAATTTCTTTCAAGTAATTAGCTGCTTATATGAATTGCAAAGAAACATTTAAAACGAAGTCAAAAAATTCGAACGCGATTGTATGATGAAAGTTTAAGAAAATATACAAGATTCATGGTTCAAACGCTTCATCTTCTTTGGGACGCTTTCAAAAATCACAAGGATGGAGTATTAAATGGCAGGAAACCTTTATCAAAACTGAAGAAATAGTGATTTAGGACCAAATAAAAAGTTTACTTAATTTCTTTAGTCATTAGAAATTACTTGAAGAAATATTTATCCGTTTCATAACTTGTAGGAATTAGAACTAGACGGCAGCATACTGCACTATCAAGCAGTTCCCAAAAGTAGAGCACGACGAACTGCGCAGGCCAGAGTGTATTGTTGAATTAATCACAACAAAGTCTCAAGAGAGCGCGTGTGAGATGTGGGAGAGAGGTGTGAGGGAAGAACACGGACAGTTGGAGGACAATCATGTGTATGCCACTGTGCGCATTTGAATGGAAAAAGAAACAAAATTTTGTACACGCTACCTTGGCAAGGTCGCATATGAGAATATGAACGCAATGTAATTTTAAATAAAATATGCAGCAATAGAAAAATGGGGAATCGATAAATTCATCTTGACACGGCATACGAGCTTGAATCAAATGGACAGAAACTACGTTTTGATACAAGTTTTTGAAATTTGTCATTTTACAAAAGAACTCATTATTATGGTAGCATAGCGTGATCGAGGTATCGCCTACACTACAATAAGTTGAAATCGAGAATAGAGAATGTTATCTATGACTATAACTTGAAGTAACTGCGAATATTTTGAGTTCGGACACCTAACCTCAATACACTTTGTACAGGAAAAATTTATAAGGTTGGCACCTAAGTCATTGCCGATTTCAAATAAGAAGGCAAATTCAGAATTTTTGTTTAAAAACATAACTTTATTATATTAGATATTGGCCCTTCTTGTCGATGACCTTTTTCCATCGTTCTGGCAGAGTAAAAATTCCCGTTCGTAAAATGTCTCGTCTTGCTATTAAAAAACTGAATTAGGTGTGATCCGACATCATCCGCGTTGTTAAAAATTTTACCATTTAAAGAGTTTTGCGTGGAACGAAACAAATGGTAATCCGAAGGCGCAAGGTCAGGGCTATATGGTGGGTGTGACAAAACATCCCAACCCAGTTCCAATAATTTTTGCCGAGTAACCAAAGATGTGTGCGGGGGCCTTGCGTTATCAAAGATATGTGGAAAACAACACCCTTCCGATTTGATAATGCCGGCCGCTTATCTTCAATTGCATCCTTCAGATTTTCGAGTTCTTCAACATACACATTTGAATTTATCGTTTGGTTCTGCGGCATGAGTTCAAAATACAAAATTCCTTTGTGATCCCCCCACCAGACTGACAGCATAAACTTTTTTGGTGAATCTCTGCTTTTGATACTGTTTGGGCTGGTTGATCTTGCTTCACCCATGATCTCTTGCGAGTAAC